GTGCATTATTTCTTTGAAAATCTTCTTCTCTGCTCCTGGGTATTAAATAAACTAACTAAGTAGATAGTTATGAAGAGCAAGGGTGCCTCTTCCAAAATTGTGAAATTCATGGCCCCTGGTTCAGGGGTTCTGGTGTTAGGGCTGGGCTCAATCTAATTAAAATTAGATGTTCCGAATCCGCTGTACCGCTTCTCAAACATCTAACAACATCCCATTAGGGGTCACGTCAGAGCGACCTTTTGATTACCCAATGGAATTGCCGTCTCTGAAATCTTGGCTTATAGTTCGGATGTTTTTTTTTTTTTACTGCCGAACCTAAACGCCCGAGGGGTTTTGTAGTAAAAAAAAATATGCATGGTAAAGACCATGCTATATATGAATGTGACGTGCAGGATACGTATAGATGTAGTTTGTGCATTTTCGTTTGCATTATTCAGGTAAGAATGCCAGATTGGCGGACAATACGTTCAATTTATACCAAAATTACTTTAATTCAATGTAAAATAGTGTACTGAGCATCAATAATGTAAAGATGTAGCCGTGGAACTAACTTTAGAATCTTATACAGAAGGTTGAATCTGATTGGCCAAAATTTTTATGTTTATTCTTAATTGAAAGGTCGCTCTGATGTGACCCCTAATGGGATGTTGTTAGATGTTTGAGAAGCGGTAGCAGATTCGGAACATCTAATTTTAATTAGATTGGGCTGGGCTCTATTGATTATATCGTGAAAATGCATTAATTCTATGAAAATCCTCTTTGCTTCTGGGTATTAAATAAAGTAACTAAGTACATAGTTATGAAGAGCAAGAGTGTTTCTTCCAAAATTGTGAATTTCATGGCCCCTGGGTCAGGGGTTCTGGTGTTAGGGTGGGGCTCTATTGATTATATAGTAGAATTGTGTTAATTCTTTGAAAACGTTTTTCTCTGCTCCTGGGTATTAAATAAACTATATAAGAACATAGTTATGGTTAGCATGGCTGCCTTTTCAGAAAATGTGAATTTCATGGCCCCAGGGTCAGGGGTTCTGGTGTTAGGGCTGGGCTCTATTGATTATGTAGTAAAATTGCATTAATTCTTTGAAAATCTTCTTCTCTGCTCCTGGTTATTAAATAAACTAAGTACATAGTTATGATGAGCATGGCTGCCTCCGCAGAAATTATGAATTTCATCGCCCCTGGGTCAGGGGTTCTATTGATTATATAGGAAAAAGGCATGAATTCTTTCAAAATATTCTTCTCTGCTCCTGGGTATTTTTCAAGCAAAGGAAGTGCATGGTTATGATAAGGAAGTATGTCTCTTCCAGAATTGTAAAATTCATGGCCCCAGGGTCAGGGGTTTTGGTGAGGGCGGAAGGGGGGGGGGGGGAGATCTATTGATTATATAGTGAAAATGCATAATTTCTTTTAAAATATTTTTTCTACTACTGGTTATAAAGTAAAGAAACAAGTGTATAGTTATAATGAGAAAGGGTGCTTCGTGGCCAATGGGTCAGATGTTCTGTTGTAAGGATGGAGCTTTATTTATTTAATAATATGGTGAAAATGCATTTCTTTGAAAATCTTCTATGCTTCTGGGGATGTTCAAGGCAAACAGAGTAAAAGTTTTAATATTCAAGGGTATTTTTACCAGAATTTTGAACACCTGGACCATTTAGTCAAGTGTTCTGGTCCAGGGCTCTATTAACTTGTATTCTGCTGAGCAAAGTTAATCCCCTTTGCCATTCACCTTTGATAATTAATCAAATGTAAATAATGTATTTGAAAGCTTAATAGAATAAGAGAATTATGCAAGAAAATTTATTGTATAATACAAAAGTACTTTCATAGTTTTAATGACTTGGAAATAATAAATGAATAAAAATGAGACAAAAATAACTTATCTTTTTAAATGTTCTTCAAAGGCCAAGAGAGGCCATTATGAGAAGCCCAGCTAGCACAAAAACATTTTTAAAATGTTTTAAAAACATTTTCAAAATGTTACAAAAACATTTTCAAAAATGTTTTAATCACGTGATTTTGTATGGTTTTTTAAACGTTTTTAAAACATTTTAGCACAATGTTTCAGCAAATGTTATTAGAACATTTTATTAAAATGTTACGAAAACATTTTTAAAAAATGTTCTAATCACGTGATTTTGTATGGTTTTTTAAACGTTTTTAAAACATTTTAGCAAAATGTTTCAGCAAATGTTATCAGAACATTTTCCTTAAATGTTACTAAAACATTTTCGAAAATGTTTTATTCACATGATTTTGTATGGTTTTTAAAACGTTTTTAAAACATTTTACCCAAATGTTGCAATGACATTTCTTTCCTGAAATGTCACTTTACGTTTTCATTAAATGATATCAACATCAATTTGTATGACTTTAAAATGGCTTTTCATACATTTCATCTTAATTATAACTCTCACAGAATTAATCACAACTGAATGAATTCACTTTTTACAAATTTTAATACAAATCCTTATTTAATATGAAAAACATATTATAGTTCCATTTCCGGTACAAGTTCTGAGTTATTCTGTTTTAACCCAACAGGTATTTTTAAAGAATAAAAATCCATTCTCTGAATTTAAAAAACAACAGAATCACATAAATCCTTCACACAAAAAAGAATAAACAGGCCTAGATCACTGTTATCATTTACGATCCCGCAAAAAACATGTATCTACATGTACATGTGTAAGTTCCACAGTGCGGCGGATCTATTATATAAATGGAATCGCACACATTGATCAAGTTCACAAGAAGTCTGTCCTGAATTGAATCAAGAAGCTCTTCTTCTGTAAAGCAGAACCTGTAAACATAGAGACAAAAGTGTTTAAGCCATCCGTCTAGCTACATCAGATCTTTAAATGATGAAAATATACAAGAACATTTTTTAAATCTTAAAATCACAAAAAATTTTCCCATTTACATTTGTAAAAAGAATTAGAGTTGCTGCATGTTCATAACTAAAACACAATAATATTATTAAAGAGCAATTATATTTACGTACCAAAGAATTGCTTTTATCAGCTAGTGGCGGTTCTTCCAAATGTGGCAATTTGAATGAAATTCAAGTCTGTTGATGGAACTGTCATCTAACTGCAATATGATTTCATGTTTCAGTATTAAGATATAAAGAGTTGTGATCAACATAAGACAAGGAGGTATATTTGTTGTTGCCTAAAGTAATCAGTTCAAATGCATAATAGCTTTGTTTTGCTACACATATGCATACAAAAATACAATGATGTACTGGTAACAGAAAAGTCACTTATAAAAATTATCTTTTGAAATCTCTGATGAAATTATACTCACAAGGCAGGTGTTAATAATCCAGCTCTAATTCCTCTGGCTTATATGATGCAAAAATCTTGTTTGAAAATCAGCAACAAGTAAATGCGCACATCCTGTTTACCAGAATTCAAATTTTGGCCTAGATAAGCTGCAATCCACTGAACACTCTAACACGCTACCCAGCAGGAGAATTGCATAACAAGGTTATCATGACACTGAAACTGACCAGTGAGGCCACTCCTAATCTGCTGCCTTGGCGTGTAGGAAATATGATGCAAACAGACGAGATCGTCAAATATCAGGCTGTGTTAATCATTGTAACAGTTTGCTTATTATTTTGTTTTCTTTTTTAAACTAAAGTATCTTTAGTTTATTCAGTGAACTTTATATTGATTACATGTCTGTCAACTCAATAAGAATTTTTTAAAAAAGGAAAGAAAAATACAGGGATAATGTTTTTGGAACATTTTTAAAAACAATTCTTCATTTAATCTCAATCCTCTCTGGATATTCTATATATATTTTTTTTTCAGAAACTTTCTCGGGAAAAATTGAATATTTTTAAAACATTTTAAAAATTACATTACAAAATATTGCATCAATGCTAAATAAAATGTTTTAGTCTTTGAAAGGATAAACGTTATAGTCAATGTTCTAAAAACATTTTTACAACATACTTTGAAAATAAACAAATGCATTGATAACAATATTTTGAAAATGTTTCTATAGAATGTTGCATAAATTATAAATAAAATGTTTCAGTTGTAGGAGGAGAAAACGTTTTGTTCAATGTTTTAAAAACATTTTCACGACCAACACTGAAACATTTAAATATTAAACTATAAGCAATATTAAGAATGTTTTAAAAACATTTTGACAACGTTCCTTCGAAATGTTTAAGAAACGTAACATTACTATGTTTCATATATATAGAAGAGGAATGTTTTATTTCATGTTTTAAAAACATTTTTATAACGTAATATGAAACTGTTTAATATATGCAAACAAGACATACCTTTGGAATCATTTTTAAAACGTTTCAAAAACATTTTTTAAAATGTTCCTTAAAGATTTTACTTTAACCTTTTTGAAAACATTGTAAAAATACTTTTAAAATGTTACAATGGGAAAGAAAAATGTTTTTAAAACATTTTAAAAATGTTTACTCTGAAATGTTTTGAAAAAACTTTTTTATAGCTGCAATAAAATGTTTTGAAAATGTTTTGTGCTACCTGGGAGTAATAATATGGGTTTAAATAATAGACATTTTGTGAATAGTCTGCATGGGAATAGTGATAAATGGAGGGGGGGGGGGGGAGATAGATACTAGACCAATTATTTTGTTGATGCTAATCATACTATTTTTTTTGCTTTTGGCCAACAAAGCTTCATTTATCAGTTTATGGATCCTTTAAATTGTTGTATTGTACTCCGTTGACCGTTAAGGCCGTTGGGCCTCTTGTTGTTTAAATGCTGTCCGATTTTTGTTATCACTGCTGTCAGACTAGGTCGCAGATAGTGTGCACGGCCCAGGGTTAAAATGCCATAAACTTTGAGATAAAGTTTTCGGATTAAAATTATTATTTGCTTAATAAAAATTAAGTGTAACACAAATAAACGGCTATCGTGATAATTAACAGTGAAATAACGTAATTAAGTACAAAAAAGATCTATGATATGGACAGTAAAAATCATTTAATGTTTATATTGTAGGAAGTTCAACTGGAAGTTCGTTTATATTCCGGTCTGATGATTACATGTACCAAGACAGAAAGGCCAATATAAATCATGTTTGGGTAATTAACTCTTCATTAAATATAAAATTCTCTACAAAAGTAAAGTTTGAGAATAGAAAATCTGTTATATTTATCCCCTTTTTAGGTCACCTGAGTCACTCAGGTGACCTATTGCTATCTGTTTTCGTCTGTCGTCGTGCGTCGTTCGTCGTGCGTTAACTTAAACATTTTTAGCTTCTTCTCTAAAACCACTGAACCAATTTCAACCAAAAAATTTGGTATATAGCATTTATGGATGAGGGGTGGGGCTTTGAAAATCTTCTTCTCTGCTCCTGGGTATTAAATAAACTAACTAAGTAGATAGTTATGAAGAGCAAGGGTGCGTCTTCCAAAGTTGTGAATTTCATGGCCCCAGGGTCAGGGGTTCTGATGTTAGGGTGGGGCTCTATTGATTATATCGTGAAAATGCATTATTTCTTTGAAAATCTTCTTCTCTGCTCCTGGGTATTAAATAAACTAACTTAGTGTATAGTTATGGAGAGTAAGAGTGCCTCTTCCAAAATTGTGAATTTCATGGCCCCAGGGTCATGGGTTCTGGTGCTAGGGTGGGGCTATATAGATCATAGAGTGAAGGTGCATTATTTCTTTGAAAATCTTCTTCTCTGCTCCTGGGTATTAAATAAACTAAGTACATAGTTATGATGAGCAAGAGTGCCTCTTCAGAAATTGTGAATTTCATGGCCCCTTGATCAGGGGTTCTGGTGTTAGGGCGGGGCTCTATTGATTATATAGTGAAATTGCATCAATTCTTTGAAAATCTTCTTCTCTGCTCCTGGGTATTATTTAAACAAAAGGAAGTGCATGGTTATGATAAGCAAGAATACCTCTTCCAAAATTGTTAAATTCATGTCCCCAGGGTCAGGGGTTCTGGTGAAAGAGGTGGGGTGGGGCTATATTGATTATATAGTGAAAATTCATTATTTCTTTCATTTTTTTCTACTACTGGTTATAAAGCAAAGAAACAAGTGTATAATTATGATGAGCAAGGATGCTTTTGCAAAATTTTAAAACTTGTGGTCCCCGGGGTTCTGTTGTGTATGTAAGGGGGGGGGGGCTCTTCTGATAATATAGTTAAAATGGGTGAATTCTTTGAAAATCTTCAACTACATGTAATTGCATAGTTATGGTGATGAGGGTACCTCTTCCAAATTTGTAAATTTCATGACCCTGGGCCATGGGTTCTGGTGTTAGGGTAGGGCTGTGTTAAATAGTGAAAATGCATTATTTCTTTGAAGACCTTCTCTGCTCCTGGGCATATTGGAGGCAAACAGAGTAAAATGTTTTAATAAGCAAGGGTATTTTTACTAGAATTTTGAACATCTGGACCATTTATTCAAGTGTTCTGGTCCTGGCCAGGGTTCTATTAATTTGTATTCTACGGAGTGAAGTTATTCCCCTTTGCCATTCTCCTTTGATAATTAATCACTGTAGATAATGTATTTGAAAGGTAAATAGAATAAGAGAATTATGCAAGAACATTTATTATATAATACAAAAAGTACTTTCTTAGTCTAAATAATCAGGTAGACTTGGAAATAATACATGAATAAAAATGAAACAAAAATAACTTCTTTTTTTTTTTTAAATGTTCTTCAAAGGCCAATTGAGGTCAATGTTAGAGGTATTTTGACATTTTGTTAAAAGTCTGCATGGTAATAGTGAGAAATGGGGGACAGATAGATAGATACTAGAACAATTATTTTTTTTATCTTAATCGTACTATTTTTCTTGCTTTTTTTGCAACAAAGCTTCATTTATCAGTTTATGGACCCTCTAAATTGATGTATTCAGGTGACCGTTAAGGCCCATGGGCGCCTCTTGATATTGGTAGCACTCACTTTACATCAGCTTGAAAAATGATCTTCTGCTTCATACTCTTTTGTTATCTCTGATTATTTGTCAATATCAAATATATTTTTTTAAAAATATGTTAAAAAAAAAAATTATTTTTCCCCGTCAATTTCATTCCATTGTTTTACTTTTAAATTGGACATTCCACTTTTTCCGTTTGAATTCCCTACTTCAGCCTTGACATTTACAACTTAAAAGTTGGAAATACGAACATTAAAGTTGGAAATATCAACTTTATTTTGGCTTTTATAACTTAAGTTTTGGCTTTTCCAACTTTAATCTTGGCTTTTTAAACTTGGAATTGTGATGACTTTTTAGCAGACGTCTTGCTACTTTACAATTATTGGGAAAGAAATGATTTACAAAAGGAAGATTTTAAAAATTCGAAAAAGATTTGTCAATCCTGCAAAATTACAAATATGGTTGAATTGATAGAAATGCAATTCTGACATAACAACAAGGAACACATTAAACGAAAATGATAACAAATATTCTTCAGCGTTTGAGGTTGTTCTCATAGTCTGCACAAGTGTGTTGATGAAAGCAAAGGAAGTCTTTGGTGAATAAAACGTAAAAGAATGTAAAAAAGAGTAAAAGTTGGGTAGAAAAATTATGCTGGAGCTAATGCTTTTGAACGGGAAAACCCCAAAGCAATTTTTAGGAGGAAAATAGTACAAATAGCTATACAATTTCATACTGTACACATCTGACGATAGGATCTTTACAATCAACAGAATTAGCTTAATTTCCATTAAGGTAAGTATATGCAACAGGTTTTATTGAATAGATAAACTATAGTTGAGTAGACTGTTTCCACCCTAGAACCCCCCCCCCCCCCCCCCGAAATAAAACAGCATAACATTCAATTTAAAAAAAATTCCTGCAACCTCAAACATGATTGACACAATGAATCAGGGAAACCGGTAATGAACTTTTGTACTGAACGAACATTTAGAATTATAAGATTTGATTTAGAGCAGTAAAAAGTAAAACAGAAAAAATTAAAATTAAACTTCTGTGTTCAACTTTAATGTTGGAAGAGCTGAGAGACAGTTGAAGATTATATGGTGGAATTCTTTAAAAACTCATAAGAAGAATAGCAGGGCTGAGATTAGTCATGGACTGATATAGAATCATTTCTGTATATGGAATGTATTTTTTCAAGGATGAAGCACAACAGAATATCAGACTTAAATGGGAAATTATATATATATATATATATATATATATATATATATATATATATATATATATATATATATATATATATATATATATATATATATATATATATGTATATATATACACACACACACACATATATATATATATATATATATATATATATATATATATATATATATATATATATATATATATATATATATATATATATATATATATATATATATATATATTTAATAACCATTGCAAAAATATTGCTATTATATTTTATAATCATTGCAGAATTTGTAACTACAAAAATGTAGGGAAAGTAATAAAATTACCAATTATGAATACTAGATTTGTGTTTATTTAGTTATATCGCATGTATCAGCTGTATGTTAGGTGACTTGTATAAAAAATAGATTTGTAAGGATGAGTGTTGAAAATAACGCGAGTGCAAGGGCACCCAGATGCATTTTGCTATAAAAATTGATACAGATTAAAAGAGGTTTACGTCATTTACCTGGAAAGTGCTGGGAACTAGTTTGTTCTGTTTGGGAAAGACTTGTAAAGACTCGCAATTTTATTGAGAATGCGTGAAATAGCCCCCCCCCCCTCCCCTCCAATTAAAAAAAACTACTTGATTCTATTCTACATCGTATTGAATTTAAAAAAACTTTTCCCAGCACTTTTTAGAATATCCGTGATGTAAGCAATTGATATTTCACATATCAGCTTAAACAGTATTGTTTATGTCTTGCACTTTTAAGGTTTATTAAGAATATCATCAGATAAGCGATTTCTGCTGACGCTGTGCAGCTTTATAAGCGTTTGATTAATTGATTAAATACATAATTTTCTTTAAGAAATGTTTTGTTGTCAGTTTTATTGATTTGACTGACAATGGTTTTGTGAAATTATCAATCTAACTACTCCTCATGATCACTTGTGCTTCGTCTTACTGGCGAATATTTCTCAGTGTTTTGTAAGTACTAGATGTTGGAATGTAATTTACTAATAGCTTTACAATTCATATTGCAGTTACCAACATAAGAGAACTAAACAAGTAAGTGCCTTTGCACAACATTATATTGAGTGTGCAAACTGTGAGGAACAACCTGCTCAGTATCTTTGCAAGACATGCCCTGGAAATCTCTGTGTAGATTGTAAAAGGGATCATATGAGAAGAAAGATTAGTAAAAACCATACCGTCGTGCCACTGACTGCCGATGAAACAAGAAAATTAATATTTCCTAACTGTGTTGAACACAAAGAGAGGAAGCTTGAATGTTACTGCACTGTTTGCAAAGCGCCAGTATGCATGGAATGTATGATGGGAGCACATAATGGTCACAAGGTACAGAATAGTTATTTCCTAAGAGATGAAGTAAAACGTACATGCGTTTGTTTCTCTAATATAGTTTGAAAAAAACATCTAAAACGAAAATTACTACCTTTGATCTAATTTGGATTAAAAAAGGTTAATTCTATCAATGAAAATTAAATAACTCATCAAACAATAATAGATTTTGTATGTTTTATCTATAAAATGCATTTACATATTCGCACTTGATGTTGTTTGGTGATTATTAAATTTCATTTTAATTCAATTATACATTATTTATTCATCAAATGCATACTATATTTAACATACACGATGGGTGATCAAAAAGTTCGCGAACTATCTTTATTTATACAAAATCACACTTCATATCAGAATGAAATTTGGCACACATATAGTGATACACATGTTCTATAAATAGCAGATGTTATATAATGTTTTTCTCCGTGTTTGTGAGGTCACATTGTGAAAATGACGTCAATATGTAGGTAACTTGTGACAAAAAATATTCGACCAACGAACGCCTGTAAAGTTTAACGTATATCTCAAAAATTCATCTGCAGTAGAATATGATAATTTGTACAAGGTTAATGAAGACAAAAGGCTAACCAGAAGTTCAATCATTAATTGGATTGATTGTTTTAGTGAGGGCAGGGAGATGGTTAAGAATGATATTTGTTCTGTTGCCCAACAAAGGCAAGCCGGTAAAAGATGTGTCCTTAGTTGAACAATTTCTTTTGAAAGATCGCCAAGTTATAACTAGAAAAATAGTTGAATGTCTGAATAATAATACAATTATTAAATCCCTGAAATATCGTTTACTTTGGACTTTAAGCATATGAGATATGAAAAAAAGAAGGCGCCCTTACTTTTTCCACATTTGATAAAGGACGCTCCCGAGACAGACGAGTCGGGTTGTGATGGTCACCATGCTAATTCTGGGAAGGGATATCCTTATCCACCCATCCTTTTGCCGAGATTTGGCCATTTCTAACAGATTGTCTGTTTTTGTTATAAAGAATAACTTGCATGGTTAGAAATATAAGACTTTGAAAAATCTCTTAGCTTCTGTTAACAAACCGCTACGGAGCATGTCACGTGACTGCCTGGATCACGTAATTCGCGCATGGGCAGAACAATGACAGAGGTGCATTTAGATCGGAGAGGACTACTTTAAAAAATAATGAACACTGAAACCTCATTTTATTTCTTTTAAGGAAGTTACTCAATTAGTTCGCGAACTTTTTGATCACCCCTCTTGTGTAATAATAAATAACGATAAATTAAATGAATTTGATTAAAAAAAAATTCTAAGAATGGAAGTCCTGAACGATAAATTGTTGCATTACATGCACTGTTTGAAAATAATCTATGCATTGAGATCTATGGAAAAAATAAATGTGTTGATCAGATTGTTCTTGATTAAATATATCCTTATTTGCCTCTCACTTGACATACGTGTACTAAATATAAATGATCTTCTGTAATAAGGTAGATAATCTCGAGATGGTCTTTGAAAAGATTCGACACTACAGAGAGAAAGCAAAAGAAGAAGTTGAATCACTTCTGCCATGTTATCAACGTATGTTACTCGAAGAAGAAAAAAAGAAAACGGAATTAAACAACAACACGGATATCATTCAGAAACAAATAGAGAAACATGCCGACAGAATTGTACAGACAGTTATGAAAATCAAAACTAAAGCCATAAAAAACTTAGAGTGTGACAAACAGGACGCTTTAAAAAGAATGAAAACGACACAAAAAATCTTATATGACAGAACTGAGTGTTTGAAACAAATTTATGCTGATATCAAATCCAGATTAACCACTAAAATTGGAGTGGAACATTTTCAGGAAGAAAAACTATCTTCAATTCGGGAAATGCACACTTTTCCAGACAGGTACACTGTCAGTGTTAAGAATTTAACGCCAGGAAACATAGACATTATATCCAGAATTTTTGGAGATATCGAACATTTTGTGGAGGTTAATGCTAAAGGAAATTATAAGCAAAAGATAAGAATTACGGAAGAGGAAGCTAAGAAGTGTGCGTTGTTCGGAATTCATAAAAAGTGCGAAAAAAGCTTGGAATGTGAAGACTCAAACAAACATGGAAAATACACAAGGGAAAAAGGGTCATTTGGATATAGATCTAGAACGATGTCCTTTTAAATTCAGCAGAGCTGCAACCATAGATCCATTGTGCTACTCTCTACGAGCAATTTGTCGAGCAATTCGTAGACATTATTAGAAATGCGCTCTACCCTGCTGGTTTCTATGACTTTAGAACGTCCCGTTAGTGAGAGAGTCTTGGATTTAAGAAGTGCTGCCTGGTAAAGAAACAAAACTACGGAAATTCCATTCGTAAGGGGTTGGTGTAAATATTGTTTCCAATGATATTTTGGGAGTGAAAAATGTTGATGCAGAAAGTAGACCTTTAGTATAACATTACTTTATTACGGCAATGCAAATTTTATTCAAGCATTGTTTTTGAATTCAACTCATTTCTAGTGATCAAAATATTAAACTCTAAAAACACTAGGGATGTGATCAGGTCCCATGGAGAAGTAAGCATCCCCTATTGACTGGTCACACCCTCCGTGTGTCTTTGTCATATTCAGACAAATGAAAAAATCTATAGACAATTTAAAAAAAATGGCCTAAGAATTTGCGTAAAAAAGTCAGTCAGAAGATACTTTTGCTGAGGAGGTCATTGTAACGACCATAGAATTTGCGAAATTTTGACTTTAAAAGAAACTGTTGATGTTTGTTGCAGCTTATAAGGAAAATAAGTTGCCAAAGTCACTATGTACGTTAAAAGATTTATTGAATTCAAAAGCTGTAACACATAAAGTTTAATTTGGACAGAAGATTGGTTTGTCAATATGATGTACACTAGGCAAAATTGCTTATCCAAAAATGATCAATTATCAACCAGAGGCAGGCTACTGACAGATAACTTGATGTTACAGAGATTTCAAAAACCTTCTTTTAAAGTCAGCATTTCGTAAATTTTATGGCCGTTATTATGACTTCGTTAGCAAATGTAACCTGTCATTGGGTCGTACATGTATTCTGGCTTGTTTCACAACAATTGTTACGCCTTTGTTTTTTTTTTTAATGAATTTGACTGTGGTATGTTCTGTCTTCATCACGGCGGGTGTGATCGGTCAATAGGGATGCTTTCTTATCCAAGGCACCAGATCTCACTTCTGGAATTTCCAAGGATCCGTGTTTTGTGCCCTTTTTACATGTTTGTATTGTTTGTAGATTTTTTGAGATTGATCCCTGTTCCTTATCTTTACCTTTATCATTGTTATTCTCGTTTGGTAATTAAACATTTGTCTAATCGGCATTAGTTATATACCATATGTCATTTTTACAATACAGTGGAATTATCAAATGTATTAGTGTCGTGACTAAGTACTTAAAATAAAAAAAACTGTTTTCTTAAAAATCAAATTACTTCCTTGCCCTGCGCTCTATATCGCTGGTGATTGTTTTTTGGTTGGTGATTGTGGTAAGTGAGTTGCAACAGAAGCAGTTCAATTTTCAATTCTTTATTCACTCAAAACCAGATCACTGGTACAAGAGGTACATATACACATATATATAAACAAAAATTACAGTCAAGGGTAAAAAAATAGACAAGTATATAAAGAAAAAAGAAAAGAAAGTAAACATATAATCGGTTATATATATGGAGGATTCAAGAAGGACAGACAGTTTTGAAGATTTTCTTAATAAATTTTGACAATGATTTTTGTATTTCTACATTATTTGTGTTACGATTTTTTCAATATCTATTTTGGCGAAATATTTTTCTGTCATTCGAAAATAACTTGCATTCCATAACGTAATGAAATTCATCACCAATAGTTTTACAATCACAAATGGTACATTTTCTTAAATTTCTATCAATATTATTCCATCTGCCTGTTTCAATTGGCAAATGATGATTACACGTTCGTAGTTTTGTAAGTGTAACTCAAATCTTTTGGTAAATTCAGCAAATAATTTTCGAAACCAAAGTTTGTTTTAAAAATTCTATAATTAATACACTTGGTGAACTATCAACAGTGCTTCTCCATTCTTGTTCAAATTGATTTTTTAGGGTATCTTTAATAATTGACTTAAGCCAGTTAAAACAATGAAATGTTTGACTTGTCCATATATAAGACAATCCACAAGAATTAAACACATCTTGTACACATTTTATCCATGGATGTACAAACGACACATAAATCACATTTGTAAGCTTACTTTCATGGGTTGTTAAAATTTTTGCCCAGTGCATAACCATTTTTAATTTTATAAATAATGACAGTGGATATCTACCTGTTTCTCCATACACCATACAATTTGGGGTTCTAGATTTAGAGTTAAGAATAAATTTCAGAAATTTTAGGTGTACTTTTTCTATTATGTTTAAATTTTCATATCCCCAGACTGCACAAGAATAAAGTAAAATTGGGTTGATGACTTTATCAAACAAGTCTAGCTGACAATTAATTGGTAAATTAGAATAGCGAATTTTACGTAAGACTCCATACATTGCTTTTGAAGCTTATTCTGCTAATTTTTTTTTTTTTGGCATTATTAAACTTTTTACTTCTTGACAGGAATAAACCCAAGTAACAGAATTCTCTCACATTTTCAATAGCCACACCATTATATAAAAATTTACGTTGTGCCATCGGACCTTCAGAAAATATAAGGACTTTTGTTTTGGCTCTGTTAACACGGAGTTTCCACAAATCACAGTATTCAGCAAACACATCAAGAGACTTTTGTAAATCAGAAGCAGATTCGGACATTAACACCGTATCATCAGCATAAAAAAGTATACATAGTTTCAACATAACAAACATGTCATGTTGCATTTGTTGACTAGGACACGTGAAACCATTTATTTGATTTCTGGTTAAATAATCCTCTAGGTCATTAATGAACAATGAAAATGAAAAAGGTGATAAATTTTCCCCTTGTCCTACACCGACATTACACATAAAAAAAAATCTGATAAGTGTTGACCTATTTGTACTTTTGATTAAATACCCTTATACATGAAATATATGGAGATAACGAACAGTATTCAAGCTCAAAAGTCCATTATACAATACAAAATAGGAGCAGAGCAAACACGGACCTCCAAACATCAGAGGTGGGATCAGGTGCCATGGAGGAGTGAGCATCCCCTGCCGACCGGTCACACCCGCCGTGTGCTCCTTGTCATGATCGGGAAATAACGGAAAAACCCGTCGACAAGTCGGTGTGTAAATAATGACCTAACAATTAGTATGAAAAACGTAAGTCAGCATTTGACTCAATGATAAATTGTATTTGCTGACAAGGTCATTGTATCGACCATAGAACTTACGAAATGATGACTTTAGACGAGACAGCTGATATTCTTGTTTCATCAACTTATTTGTCAATAATTTACCTCGTTTTAGAAATTGTACATACGTAGAGCATGCTCTTGCGTATCGAATCAACTGAGAGATATATACCCCGTATGCAGGTGATGAAGGTATATTGCTGCATAAGTAAGGGAAGTTGACGATTGAAAAGTTAAAGTCATCACGTTTATCATAAAGCTTGGTTGTTAGATTACCATTAACGTCTTTTTCAAGTAAAATATCCAAATATGAAACAGATGTGTCAGACTCTGTGGTATCTTTTATCTCAAGTTCACCAGGATATATCGTATCGACATAAGAATGAAAATAGCCATTGTTAATTGACAATACGTCGTCGATATATCTAAATGTCGAGTTGAAGGCCACAGCAAGTGATTTCTTCTTTTCACGTACAAGATTTTGGACAAATTCTGCTTCATATGAATACAAAAAAAGGTCTGCTAATAACGGGGCGCAATTGGTACCCATAGAAATTCCAATAGATTGTTGGAAGACCTGGTCTCCAAAAACCACATAGATATTGTCAATCAGAAACTCAAGCATCTTTTTAATGTCAACTTCAGAATACTTGTGTGTACAATCAGAATGTTTTTTTAAGAAAATAATTTTGCAAATGACCAATGACAAGGTAAGTATATTTACGAGTTCCATTTTTATTGAAAAAGCAGCTGTCAATGATATCAAAAAGCCTGGACTTTAATTTATCGTGGGGAATGGTTTTGTATAAAGTTGAAAAGTCGTAAGTTTTTAAGCTGTTGATTTTGGTAAAATCTTGTGATTTCAAATTTTCCAAAAGTTCCTTGGAATTTTTAAGTATCCACATCTGAATTACACCACTTCTCGAATATATTGTTGCACAGTACTCTTGAAGTTTCTCCTTCACCACTGTTAATATCTTAGTGAGGAGTAAAGATAGAGGCTTGGTTGAACATTTACTGGAACCCGCTATGTATATCTTTGTTTGTAAGGATTTTTATGAAGTTTCGGAATCCAATATAAATATGGTAATTCGAATTCATTTTGGTTGTTTGGAATTTTAAAAATATTCAAAACTGACATATGACATGTGTCACGGTAGGCGTTGCACGATAAGGACGATAAAAAATCCTCTCTGCTCAATGGCCTTGAGTGCGGAGTATAGGTCCAAATTTGAAACCTTTCACTGACATGCAGTGACATCTCTATATGAGTGAAAAATTCTTGATGGGACGCTAAACAACATACAATCAATCAATCTTAAGAAGCACTGGCCCTGAAAAGTTGAAATTGATTAAGCTTTGTGGGTTAGAGTAGTTTCTATTTTTATGCCATGAATATGGCCGGGGCATATAGAGTTTGTCATGTCAATTTTCCGTCCTTCCGTCCTCCCGTCTGTCTTTCAGTCACACTTTGCGTTTAGCTCAGTTTCAAAGAAACTATTCACGATATTTTTATCATTCTTCATATACTGGCACATGTCGTCCAGCTTTATGACATCATTGAGAGCTGCTTTTTCAATGAAAATGGAGCCCGTAAATTTTCTAAACTTGTCATTGGTTATTTGCAAAAATTTTTTCGTTAAAAACATTCTGATTGTACACACAAGTACTCTGAAATTGATATTAGAAAGATGCTCTGCTCCTATTTTGTATTGTTTAATGGACTTTTGAGCTTGAGAACTGTTCGTTATTTCCATATATTTCATCTTGTCATTGCAAAACATATTCCATTATCACCTAAATATGAAGTTTTTGTCTCTCAGTTGATTCTATACACAAGATCATGGTTTTAGAAAGAAAGGTTCCTACAATGATACAAGATAAAAACAAATAAGTTGATGAAACCAAAATATCAATAGTCAACATTTCGCAAATTATATGGGTGATACAATGATCTTGTCAGCAAATCAATTTATCATTGGGTAGAATGTTAACCGCTTTTTTCTATGAATGATACAATGATCTTGTCAGAAGAAACAATCTATCATTGGGTAGAATGTTCACTGAAGCCTTTTTTAAACTAATTGATAGGCCATTATTTTCACTGAATTGTCTACGGAATTTTTCGTTTGCACGATCACAACAAAGAGCACACGGCAGGTGTGACCGGTCGACAGGGGATGCTTACTCCTCTACGGTATCTGATTCCACCGCTGATGTTTTAGAGGTCTGTGTTTTTCTGCTCCAAATTTGTATTGTTTCAATAGATTTTGAACTTGATTTCTCTTCATCATCTTCATATATCATTTGAATTATTTATTTATTTCTGTGTGTGTAGAAAAAAATTAAAGCTTTCATCAAAGTGTTAAATTTAAATGATTTTTTGACAAAATGTGTAAATGTTAATATTTGGGAAATTATGTTGTTTTTTAGCTAAGCAGGTAAATGAATGATTAACCGATGTATATACAGATTGTCTGGCTACATAAGCTAAAACGCGATAATCTTCCATCACCGTTCGATGGCTCCAGTACCTTTTTCAAGTCGGGATCTATTTAATTAGGATTGTTTCAGGTTCAAATTAGAAATATGCAATTTGACTTACATTGCGAAATTTCCTTTTTATGTATTTATTTAAAAAATATGATTGCCCGACTTTTTCTTCTAAATATAAAAAGGATAAAAGGAAATATTTTTGAAGATCTTTTCCGTAGATTTAAGAAATATTAAAACAAATATTTTTTATCTCACATTCATACGTCATTTGTTATGAAAAGAAAATAATTAAATAAAATTCTGTCAAAATTAGGAAACTATAATTTTCCAGCAAACTAGAAATAAACATTTTTATTTAAAATATTTTAATGGCAAAAAAGCAAATAAAGAGGAAAAATATCTTTCTTTTTAATATGCAAGTATAATATTAGTGGGAATTCATGTCGGCTACATATATATATATATATATATATATATATATATATATATATATATATATATATATATATATATATATA